TGGTTCAGGCTGCTGGAATGGGCATGGAGAAGAACCCAAAGGTTCCAGGGCCCTTCTAAAAGAAAATCAAATGTCAGGAGGGGGTAGGGCCTGGTGGTTTGGCCTGTGGCCTCTCATGTGGCTCCACTCCCCTATACCAGTGCTCATGATTGTCCCACACCTGGGAAGCAAGGACAGACCAGGGGGGCTGAGCCAGGGGTATGTGCCACCCAGGGCAGGGGGCATGGTGGGACTGGCAGCCAGGAAGATGCTGAGTGGGGTTTTGATCCTGGCCTTGTCACCCACAGGAAGCGCTTGTTCCCAGATCTGGCAGCATCCACGTTTCATGGCCAAGAAACGGGGCTCCACGGTGGAAATAACGTGCCACATTGAGGCCGTGGGCATTGTGAGCTGGCTCTGGAAGCGGGACATGGACTCGGATCCCAAGATGCTGGTCCCGGAAAAGGGACACATCGAGCAGGCCCAGGGCAAATCCAATGCCACCCTCATTATCCAGGACATCCAGTTTCAGGACAATGGCATTTACTTCTGTCAGGGAAAGTGCTCCTCCAGCGGGTCCCCCGAGACGAGCTGTGGCACTGAACTCCGAGTTATGGGTAGGTATGGGCCTGCCCTCCAGCCAGGGAGGGGGTGAGCGTGGACTGGGCCACAGGATGTTCATGGAGCCATCCAGACCCCACCCCACCCAGCCTGCCAGTGGTGAGGGGCCACATTGTGGAGGTGGCCGTGGCTCTAGAGCATCCAGGAGAGCCATTGAGAAGGGGTCTTGAGGGGTGCAGCACAAGTGGTGCCCCAGCCTCCCCATCCCCGCCCCACCTCCCCGCAGGGTTCAGCACCTTGGCTCAGCTGAAGCGGCGGAACACGCTGAAAGATGGCATCATCATGATCCAGACCCTCCTCATCATCCTCTTCATCACCGTGCCCATCTTCCTGCTGTTGGACAAGGTGACCGCAGCAGCGGGCCACACATGGGCAGCGTCTCCAGCTCCCCGGCCCCAGAGTCTGCCCATGGACTCACCTGTCCCTTCTCTCCTCCATTCATTCAGTTGTTCTTGCAGAGGGCACCTCACCCCTGACCCCAACTCCTCCTCCCTGCCCCCTGCCCCCAGGCCAGTCTCCCTGGCCCTGCCCATCCTGGCCCAGCAGCAGGTGGGGCGGGGGAAGCCAACACTCTGCTCTCCATCTCTTGCCCCACCAGGATGACAGCAAGGCTGGCATGGAGGAAGACCACACCTACGAGGTAAGGGGCAGGGTGGACCCCCAGCTCTGAGGGGCCCGGGGGTGGTCAGCAGCACCATCTGTTGGTGTGGTTGGGGAGTGGCCCAGGCCTGAGCTCCATTCCATGTCTCCAGGGCCTGAATATTGACCAGACAGCCACCTACGAGGACATAGTGACTCTGCGGACAGGGGAGGTGAAGTGGTCGGTGGGCGAGCACCCAGGCCAGGAGTGAGAGGCCAGCTGTCCCCATGCCCCTGGGCACAGCCTGCTGGGCCCTCACTGACTGCTTCAGAGCCACCTGGCTCCCAGTCCATCCCCTTTCCCTTGGACCCCCTGTTGGCCACCAAAGCTGGCCCACCAGATCTGCCTGCTCCTCCAGCCCCTCATCCCCAGCTCCTGCCAAAAGGACTGGAGTGGAAGGGTCCCAGGACAGTGATTTGGAGCAGGAAGTTCTCTGGGGATAGACTGGACCAACTTTCTTGGGGTGCTATGCGGGGATCCATCCCACGTTCAGGACAGGGAAGGCCCAAACTAGTCTGGAACCTGCAAATGGACTTAGAGCAGACAGCTTCCTGTGAAGCCTGGGAGGGGCCATGGCACACCCCCACTTGGCCACCGATGGGCCACAGAGAGCTTCATCCCTCTCCTACCCTCTGCCACCCTCTCCCACCCAAGGGGCTCTTAACCTTGAGCCCATTCTCCCACGGAATAAACAGTGTGTCTTAAGAAACCACACTCAGGCTTGTGACATCTATGGATATGGAGTGAATGAGAGTATCTGTTTGAGCACAAATGTTTGGGCACCTGTGGGCTTGTGGGGCGTAGGAGGGGACAATGGCCATGGGGCTCGTGGACCTCTCCTGGGCTCACTTGCTACTTCTCTCTGAAGGTCCAGTTGGGACCTGTGGTCAGGTCCTCCTTTAGTCCCCTGCTCTGACCCTAGCTGGGCCCAGCGCTGCTGGAGAAAAGCTGATTGGACTGGCTCTTGTCCTTGGTGGGGCTGCCGTCCTTGCATTCCCTGTAGCCAACAAGCAGTACTAGAGTCCTGCTCTGGAGGGCAGAGGTGTCAGCCCTGAAGGAGCTTTTCCCCCTTTTCGCATCCCAATCCTACTGTCCTTCGAAGCCCTCCACCTACGGGAAGCCCTCCCAGAGTGCCCCAGTCCCTGCCCAATCCCTGTGCAGATCCCAGCCTCTGCAGCTCTGTCTTAGCTGGGCCTGTGCTGCCCACCTGGCTTTGTTTTCCAGTTAAACTGGAAGCTGCCTGAGAGCAGGGGTTCCCGTGCCTCTACCACCACCACCTCCACTCTGCTGGTCCTCACCAAGCCTGGAAATATATTTTTTGTTGTTTGACTCAGAGCCACGTAAGAGAGGCTCCTGAAGAGGGAGGCTTTGTGGTGGTAAACTTTGCAGGGGAGTTGAGGGAGGGGGGGCTTAGTCAGGTGACTCCTTCATTTTCCAATCATCACATCAGAAGCCCCCTAGTGTTACAAGGTCACCACAAAATGGTCCCTAGGGTCCTACCAATTAGGGCCCAAACCTGCCAGCTGCTGGAGAGCCTGGGAGCAGCTCACAGCTGGGAGCTCATGCGCATTAACCAATTAATATCTGCGTGCAAAGCCCGGCCATGTTCCACTTCCTGTTGACCTTGGGGGGACCCTAAAACACTTCTTTGCCATTCATGCTCTGGATTCAAGTGGGAGAGCCAAGGCCAGCATGTGGTGACCAGTGAGAGCAGCACCAGTTTTTACCAGCTTGCCCCTGGAGCTCCGGGGTGGGGCAGGTGGCTAAGGCATCCAGCCCTGGGGTATCACATCAATCTCTCCCTTGCTCAGTGGTGCCCACTTGGAGCCAGACTGGGCCAAGCTGGGCTGGACCTGCTCCCTCCCTAGTCTCTGGGCTGCCACAGGGAACCGGCTTGTTTTGGCATCTGCATCCACTGAGCTGGAGCCCTTCCTCTCTGGCTGCTTTGCATAGTGGCACTAATTCTGTCCCTTTACCTCCACCAGGGACCCTGGGCAGCCCGGCTGGGGGTGGGGGCCAGTCTTCACTTCTCTCCCCAGCAGGGTCTCCCCCTGCTTGGGGCTGCCCTGAGTTAAGGGAGGCCTTGGCTTTACCAAAAGGCAACTTAATACCTTTCAATAACTGAGTTTCCCTAAGGCTTTGAAGTGTTGTCAGCAGAGAATCACTTGAGCGTCAAGGCCTGCCTTCTCCACCAGGCACCCCTAAAGGGCATTTGCCTTCATGGTTTTGATATAGAAACCCCCCCAATCTGTTTTTCTGTTTTAGGGTGTCATGTCTGACTTAGGCAGTGGGAATCCTAAACCTTGTCTGAGGGAAGGGAGCTTGTGTTTGCTGTTTGTGTGTTTTTAACTATCACACAGTAGCTGGCCTTTGTCTGCTCTCAGTGAGCAGTTTGATGAATTCTGTCTAGCAGGAATGCAGGTTTCCCTACCCACCAGCACCAAGATGCAGAACACAAACCAAAATCTTTTACTGGGCCCCCAAGATATTTATATATTTAGCACCTCTTAATGCCAATAAACTTTTATTGAACATCTCCATATTAATTCACATGATCTTGCTTAAGCCCCAGCATACCCTGGAAGGGATGCCCTCTTTGTCTTTGCCAGTTTCCCATTGCTCACAGGTCCCAGAACCCAGAAGGCACACTCCTTGCTAATAGGCAGGACATCAGCACCACTGGCATCCTCCGGGAGGAGCCCAGCCCTGGCCAGGCTGCTGCCTGGCCCTCCCGCTCCCCAGAATGCAGCGCCCAGGCCCCCGGGTGGGCACATGCCCCACTGCCCGCTGGGGGAATCCAGCCGGGTCCCTGGGGCCTGGTGTCAGCACAGGCTGCTTCCTCCTCGCTCTAGCTTGACTTCCGCCAGCTCGCTGCAGGTGCTGCTAGGCCTGGGGCGCTCTGACTGAGGGTTTGGGTGTTTTTCCAGCAGATTGGAGGTGAGAGAAAAACAAAACAAAACCCGAAAACCTGCCCCTGTTTGGGTGTCGCTGGCAGGTAGTGTTGGTCCCTGAGCAGGTGTCTAGCCCAGCTGGGTCCTCTGGGAAGGGCCCCCAAGGCCACCTCGGCACATGGGGCTTGGGACTCGGGATTCTGCCTGCATGGGCTCTGCTCTCTTTAGGTGACCTCAGTAGCTGGGCTCAGGCCCACATCAGTGAAATTCCCGAATCTGTCTCTGCTGTCCACCCTGCACCTGGTCATGGCCCTAGGGACCTGCCATGACTCAGTTGCAAACGAAAACAAAAACAACAACCTCCCCCACAAACCTTCCATTTGGAACCACTCAGCTGTCATCTCCAACCCACAAGCGTTTCCTCGGAAACTCAACAAGCATTAACTCCCAAGTTCAGAGTAGTTGTTAAAAACACATTTAGATGGATCCTGATGCAATGTTCAAACTAAGAAAAAGAGAGTCATTTTTCTCTGGGACCTCACGCCACTTTGTCACATCGCACGAGTGGGGGGCTGGACACCCTGTGAGTTCCCGCTTGGGGCTCACATTCTGAGAGTTGTGGGTCTGTGTGGAACATGTGTGTGTACTGGGATCAGCAGCTGCATGCTGCTTTGTCTGCTTTTTTCATTTAAATATTTTCGTGTACGTATTGCTGAGCATCGCAAGATCTTGCCCTTGTTACCTATTTTTTTTTGCTTGTTGTTTTAAATCACACTCTACTATGCGGAGGACATCGAGACACTACGTGGCCTGCCTTGCCATTTCTGGCCAGGTGGATATTTGAGCTCTTTCTTTGGCACCGTCCTTCTAACCATTCAATCCACTCGGCGGATGCTTGCTGAGTTCCTGGGCCTGGGCCTGGGCCACCTGCCAGTTCCCCCCAAGCCCCCAGGCTATTCTCTCACCTCTCTATCTTAGCTATTCCCCTCGCGGCAGTTTTCACAATGTGAAATGTCTGTATATATTTTACATTATGTATTTATTTGTTTGCTACTGTCTCTCTTCCCATAGATTGTAAGCTCCAGCAGAGAAAGGATCGTGCCTTTTATTCACCTAAGTATGCCCATCTGCCTGGTACAATGTCTGGCATATGGAAGGAGCAACAGCTACTTGTTGAATCAGTTAGTACATGAATAGAATGAATGGATGGCCCTAGCCCATGTGGCTAAGTGGTTAGAGCGTCGGGCTGGTGACCGGAGGGCACATATCTGGATCGCGTGTTCGAGCGTGCAGAAGGCAACCAATCCATGTGTCTCTTCCCCTCTCCCTCTCCCCCACCACCTCTAAAAAAAAAAAAAACAAAAATGGAAAAACTATCCTGCCGTGAGGATTAACAACATAAAGAGAGAGAGAGAATGAGTGGATGAATTAAAGGCATGAATTCGTCTCAAAGCGCCTATGGTCCACAGACTAAAGTAAAAGTAGGTGGAAGTTATTTCCAGCTGAGACCACCAATCAGGAAAGCACCCCAGACTTCCCACAGCTGCTGGCCACACCTCGGTTCTAACTACTTCTTTTTCAATCGGCCCCTCTCCCCGGGGACCAATCCGCAAGCGGAGCTTACTTAGGGGGCCCGTTCTGCAGAGCGCTGTGCGCCTCTTGGTTGCTCAGAGATCCCCAACTAGTTGTAAACAAGGCCCTGCGAGACTGGCCTGGGTGCCCGAGCCCTCCGCTAACCCCAGGGTCGGGTGAGATGAGGGAAGTGAAAGTCCATGCACACTGAAACGTGCAAGACACATGTGAAGGGCGCTGCGGCCTGCTTCAGTAAATCGGGGCCAGCGGGTTGTTTTTCTGCCGCTTTTCTTGGTGCCCGCGGACCTCATTCCGTCGCGGTCACCCTTGCCTCAGTCGCTCCTACCTTCCTTCCGCGTCTGAGCAGAGACCTGAGGCTGCCTGGCAGCCCCACCATGTCTCCGAGACGAGGCTTCTAAAGAGCTGGGAGCAGTGGGAGCACCCGGCCCTGGGCAGCCACCACTTGGGAGCAGGGAGGCTCCAGGCGAACAGCTCTATCAGGCCGAGCCTGAGTGTCCTCTATGAAATGGGCCTCACCCCTCTGTCACCCAGGACAGCACCTGGCACATGGTGGGCACTCAGAAATGTTGCTCTCCTTCCCCATCTCCGCTGGAGAAGCCCATCGGGATCCCCACATAGTTTTCTCTAACGACTCTGACTCAGTGCCCTGAGCGACCAGAGTGGTGCTGAGGCCCCTGCTGGAGGCAGAGAGGGTCAAGTCGTCCTGGGGAGAATCCCAGACTCCGGCCTCGAGGGAGGCAGCACAGAGTGAGTGGTGGGAAGTGTGGGCCTCAAGCGACCGAGGAGGAGAGAATGAGCTGCCACCAGTCCCTCTGAGGTCCCTAAGCTCAGGGCGAGTGTGCCGATGAACAATGAGATGGCCCTAAACCCCACAGATTTGAACCTGGGAGGGGCTCTTGAAGCTGAAAGAGGCCACTTTTGCATCAAGAACAGATCTGAGAGCGTGGTACAGAGAACCCCAGAGCCGGTCAAATCTGGAAACACGAAGGGCTTCTTAACACACTGAAATTCGTGGTGTCCAAGATAACTGGGGATTCATCCAAGCCTTTCAAGGTGGACCTCAGACATGCTGGTCACAGCTTCTCCCCACTGGCCACCATGCAGAGCCCATTGCTGGATAGTCTCTGAACCTGGAGAAGCCAGGGGTCTGGCCCCAGGTGGTGCCCCAAGAAAAGGTGGGTGATTCCCCACACTGGAGGGAAAATCTCATCTAATTCAAAGTTTATCTTCAACTAGCGATGAATCACATCTGTGGTCTCCATCACTAAAGACCCTGAAAAGGTCCAGACCAGAGGAGAGGATCACCAATGTCCACCCCACACCCTTCAGTTCTTCCCTCTTTGGGTCCAATAGCCATGGTAACCATGGGAGTGTGGCTTTTCAATGTTGGTATCCCCAGGGGTCCCCGGAGTCCCATGGGCCAACCTAGTTCTGGGGGTTTGATGAGAGGAGACGCTTCCTGCTCTGGCCAATCCCATCTGTCCTTGGCAGTAACCTGCCTGGTGGGGAGCCTCAACCACATATCACTTGTGCCACGCTCATGTGGCTCTCCAGCAGTCCCCAAACTGAGCTTTATGCCCCCACACCTAGAGGAGGCCTGGGCTTTCCTCCCATGGTCCACAGTTCACATACATTCTCTGCAGCATTAGCTAGAAGCCTGTCATGAGGGGTTCCACCTCAGTGCCCCTTCCCCCAGGTGACATAGGAGGAAGGAGTGGCAGGGGAGGCAGAAGGCTGTGAAGAGCTCAGAGACCCTCCTCCACTTCCCACCTGGCCCCTCCTCCTTCCTTAGAGCCTGTAGCTTTGATGACACCCCACCCTGATGCGACAGTCCAGCCTGGAGAACAGCTCCCACAGGCCCCTGTGCCCTCCCTAGCAGATAACAAGTCAAGGCCTGGTTGGGCAATGGTTCAGGAATGACGGGAGCAAAGGGAGCTCTACCTTCTGGTCCTAAAAGGGGGAGGTGGTAAGGCCTAAGTACTCCCAAGAGGGGGAGGTGGCAAGGTACAAGCACTCACGTTGTGGACCATGGGGGTGTGGCCTTTCAATGTTGGTTGTCAACACCGTAACCAGCCACTAGAACGGTTTGGTTGTTTGTTTTCCCACAGGGTCAAATGCTAAATATTCTCAGACTTAAGGGGCAAAAGGTTTCAATGCAGGAGAATGTGTTCTTTCCTGTTCTTATTCCTGGGGTGATCTGATGCTAGTAACCTCCTGATGCTGAAATAGCCAGGGCGCTGGGCAGCAGGAGGCTGGAAGGCAGCACTCCTAGCCCTCCTGGCCCTAGCTTTGCCTGCTGTGTGGTCTCCAACATGCACCCTGTGTCACTGGGCCATCCTCACCTGGGAAATAAGGGACAACAATCTGTCCCTTAGGAAATGACAAAGTGAGGCAAGGGGACCCTTTGTGATTAGGGGCACGATCCTCGTGTTCAGAGAGATGTGAAGTTAACATGACTGAGTGGCGCCCACCCAGTCTGCTTGGGAGAAAGGGCTTGGGCTGATGCAACACTGGAGATCTGCTGCCTTGGCCCAGGTAGCCCGTGCAAGGCAACCTCTCTGAACCTGTCTCTTCCTCTGAGAAATGGGCTGATAATAACGCTTCCTTCACAGGACTGGCTGAGAGTCAAATGTGAGAAGGCACAGGCACCCCCTTCCCAACGTGATAAGCTCCATACAAATATTAAAAGGAGAAGAGAGAATGGAAGGAGACTACAATTCAGGATACTGTACCCTGAGTTCCGGGGACAAGACTCAAATTCTCAAGTTCTCTTCCAACTTTGAGATTCTCTGATGGTGACAGGGCTGCGGGAGAAAGCACTCGTGGCACCTGCCTGTTCCTGGGATTTCTGCTGCTCAGTTTGCATCTCTGTGCACGTCTAAAGGAGCACCCATACCTAAAGTTTCGGCCCTTTGCCCACCCACCTGGGGGAGGCCTCCCAACGCTCAAGGAAGGGGCAGGGCCGTGTGGGGCTGGTGCCCTCTAGTGGTCAGTATTAGCACTGCAGCCACCTGGCCGGACCAGGTGGTGAGATGGTCTGACCACGGGTGATAGAGGCAAGGTAGAACCTGTGCTGAACTGTGCCCCCAAACCCCAGAATCGATTGCTGTCTTGGGTGGGGTCCTCTGTGGTGGGTGGAGGGAAACTGTGAAGGGAAGAGGAAAGGTGTATAGTGAGGAAGGGGCCGACTCAGCTCCGGAGGCACAGCCATTCTGACACAGCCCTCCTTTTGGGGACCAGGAGGGCCATCCTCACCCTGGTTCCCAACTTTACAGCGATATCCTGCCAGCACGCGCCTGGACTCAGACTACTCCCTTCTGCCACTCCCCTCCCCTTAAAAAGAGGACAGATCGGGTAGTCTCTCTAGTTGAGACCCTGTGTGTGCAACCCTCACGAGAGCGTGATGGCGGAGCAGGGAACAAGCCTGGGGGACATGACCCCAGGAGAGGAGCGGGAACAGGACAAGTGGGAGGAGGTTCTACATTATCCATCAGCAGAGGGCTGTCAGTGGCCTATACATAAATGCATAGAAAAACAGGTGGGGGCAGAGAGGGAGAGATGAGGCCAGGGTATAAAAAGTGTCCACAAGGGACCAATTTCAGGATCCTCAGACCCAGCTCCGCAAGCCACTCAGGGACCTGTGGACAGCTCGCCCAACTGTGATGGCTGCAGGTAGGCACCTGGAAAATGCCCCTGGGCTTGCTGTGTGCTGAGGGGCAATACGGTGGCCCTACAGACCGATAGGGGCACTAACCCTGGCCTTTGGGGCTTCTGAATACAGCACAAGACATCCATGGCCCAGACATTTGGTCGAGTTTAAAATGTTCTCAGTCCCTGGGGGGCGGTGGAGGAGAGAGGAAGCCCCCCGGGGCAGGGAGAGGGCTGGCTAGAGGGTGGGCTCCCTGCTCTCTAGGGCCCCACCCTCAGCCTCCTATCTCTCTCTAGGCCCTTGGACCTCCCTGCTCCTGGCTTTCGCCCTGCCCTGCCTGCCCTGGCCCCAGGAGGTGGGCGCCTTCCCCGCCATGTCCTTGTCTGGCCTGTTCGCCAACGCTGTGCTCCGGGCCCAGCACCTGCACCAGCTGGCTGCTGACACCTACAAGGAGTTTGTAAGCAACCCGGGAAGCTGGGTGGCGGGAAGGGCTGAATTCCCCGCTCCCCTCCGCACCGTCCGACATAGGGGGAGACCACCGATGAATTCAGGGTGGTTTTATCCAAGTGAAGATGCCGTCAGGTGACTATGAACCGAGGGGGGTTCCGAATAAAGCGGCGATGAGAACCATGCCCCGGCTCAGACCTGGCTGGACGTTCCTTCTCCCAGGAGCGCACGTACATCCCGGAGGGCCAGAGATACTCGATCCTCAACGCCCAGGCTGCCTTCTGCTTCTCGGAGACCATCCCGGCCCCCACGGGCAAGGAGGAGGCCCGGCAGAAATCCGTGAGCGGCCCCCCTCCACCGCGGCCCTGGGCTGCCTTCTCTGCAAGCTGGCGGAGGGTGGCAGTGGGTGGCGGGGTGGCAGGGTGGCAGGGGAAGGCCTGCAGAGGCCGGCCGTTAGCGGGGTGCCCGGCGCCCACCATCGCCCTCTCCCCGCAGGACGTGGAGCTGCTCCGCTTCTCGCTGCTGCTCATCCAGTCGTGGCTCGGGCCCCTGCAGGCCCTGGGCAGGGCCTTCCCCAGCGGCCTGCTGATAGGCATCTCCAGCGGCGTCTATGAGAAGCTGAAGGACCTGGAGGAGGGCATCCAAGCCCTGATGCGGGTGGGGATGGGGTCGGCCCCCAGCCCCGCGCCCATGTGCCCCCGCCCCTGGGCCTGGAGGCCCAGCTGGCTTAGCTGAGGCGTCAGGGGCTTGTGGGCTGGAGAAGAGACAAACCGTTTCTCTCTCTGTAGCAGCCCAGCCTTGGCCCAGGAGGAATCGCACTCATTTCCCCTTTTGAACCCTCCAGGCCTTCCTCTAAGTCCTGGAGGGGAGGGAGGGACATGGAGGGGAAGGGGGCACAGCTGGCAAGGACTGAGTCTCTGTCTCTGCTTCCCTTTTGCAGGAGCTGGAAGATGGCAGCCCCCCGGCTGGGCTGATCTTCACGCAAACCTACGACAGCTTTGACACCAACCTGCGTAGCAGCAGTGAGACCCTGCTCAAGAACTACGGGCTACTCTCCTGCTTCAAGAAGGACCTGCACAAGGTTGAGACGTACCTGCGCTTCACGAAGTGTCGCCGCTTCATGGAAAGCAGCTGTGTCTTCTAGCTGCTGTGACCCTCCCCAGTGTCTCCCCTGACCCTGCAAAGGGACGCTACAGTGCCCACCATCCTTTCCTAATAAAATAAAGTTGCATCATAATGTCTGAGTAGATGTCATTCTGTTATGAAGGGGGTGGGGGAATTCGTACAGAGCAAGGGGCAGGTTGGGAGGCCAACCTACAGGAATCCTGTGGGGTCTATTAAGAACCAGGCTGCGCCCGGCCGGCGTGGCTCAGTTGGATGAGCATCATCCCATGCACCAGGAGGTCGCTGGTTCGATTCCCAGTCAGGGCACTTGCCTGGGTTGTGGGCTCGATCCCCAGTAGGGGGCATACAGGAGGCAACCGATCAATGTTTCTCTCTCATTGATATTTCTATCTCTCTCTCCCTTCCTGTCTCTGAAATCAATAAAAATATATTTAAAAAAAAAAAAAAAAAAGCACCAGGCTGCTGAATGATAACTGACCTGGTTCTTCCTGGGTTAGAAAGAAGCTGACACCATCACATGATCCTCTCTGTTACACGCCAAGTCCACTCTCTAGCTTACTGGGCAGTCATAGGTCAGAACCACCCCTATAAAATACTTGGAGACATTTCCTGCCACCCATCCCAGCACCACAACCCCAAACCTAGGCCCCAGGAGTGGGAAGAAACGAAAGCCTGACAGCTATTGAGTACAGAAGCAAAACACCCCAACATGTGAGAAAAAAATGAGAAAAATCATAGAATTACTTTTGTGCAGAAATTTTAAGGGGAATACACATTAGGCCCCACTACTCTTGGGAAATGGGAACAAGGCTAAGATGGCTTTGGGACTAACAGAACCAGAATGTTTGGGATCTGGATTGGGCCAAGAAAAGTGGAAGAAAGATTCCAAATTGGGGGTTGCAAATTCAGCATCAACAGGCGCCAGATAGATAATTATGTAAGTAATGAAGGCTGGGTATGAAGAGATAAATCACAACTGACAGCCTCCTTGTGGGGGATACAACACAAAGGGCTGGGGACCAGAGAAGCCTAAAGAACTCAGGCCCTAGCTAAGGTGGGGTGCATCTACCCCAGTCATTCAGGACTGCAGGAGCAGGGCTGCCAGCCAGGCCTTTGGATTCTCAAGACAGACAGGACATCCAGACCTAAATGTGAAATCTAATTTTTAAACATTGGCAATTCATTCATACTGAAAACATTTTAAGGGGGAAAAATTAACCGATACACATGGGTCTTCAAGCAGTCAGCAAACAATCTGTTCTAAGAGCAGTAGATTTGGATAACTCAGTATAAGGAAAAGAGTCAGAAAGACTGGGATTTGAATTTATGCTCATAAATAGATTACTTAACCTCCTTGAGACCCAGTTTCCTCGCCTATAGGATGGAGATAATAAGTTGCCTTACAAGGCTTATGTGAGGATTAAATGAAATGACATTTCTTAAATGGTCGACACATTACAGCGCTCAAAAAAATGACAGCTGTTTATGCATTGAATTTGAGGGGTATTCCATGCTTTCTGATGGAATGTTTAAATACCCATTATTAAATCATATTGTTTTCCAAGTGTTTCTTTTTTAAAATTTCCAAATGAACCTAAAAAAGGCACCCAAGCACCTGACTAAGTAACTAGTGACCTGTAAATCAACGCTCAAAGTAATTCTATTATCCAAATATGATTTTACAAAATCAGTAATTCTTTTACAATGCAAATCATCATGCTCCTAATTAGTATTCCTGAAAAGTTCAGATTTTTATGTACTATAATGCACTTTTCTTTAAAATAGGACTCACCGGTATTCATTTTCAGTATTTTACATTTAGCAGCATAAGTCTTTGGGGAGTGGCTGAAAGTTGGACTAATCAGAAAACCCCAGAGCTCCATTTTTTAGCTCAGAAACCATTCATCTGCCTTAGATCATTCTTTTATTGTCTGACTTTAAAATCATGACATTTAGGAGTCAGAAGGTTAGGTCATCCTAATTCCTTCTAATTTAGGAATCTAACTCTATAGCATTCCTTACAGATGGTATTCACTTGTGTGGTGCTAGAGTCAGAGGAACAGCTATTTCACAAGGCAACTCACTCTACTAAATCACTCTGGTTTCCAAATCTCTGCCATGTCCTTCATTTGGCCTTAGAATTCTTTGGAAATCTCACAATCTTTAGAAGTTGATGTAATTAGCACAAAGATATAATTATTGAAAGGTTAAAGCGGGTGGTGCGTGGGCAGGCTAAATAGCCATCTCAGGCGGTGAATAAAGAAAAATTAAATTTATTTAATTAAAAGGGGATGGGGGTGGGGATATTCAAAGGGAAGGGCTACACAGCACTGAGCCAAAGGGTGCTGGGTGGGTCCATGATGGCAGCAAGAACCTACTCAGGACAGTGAGACAAGGAAGAGCGTAGAAGCAGCGGCAGGAGAGCCCGGGCCGGGCCGCGTTGGCTCACTGGGGAGTCAGAGAGGGAGAGAAGGGGGGCCTTGGAGACAGGTTCAGGGGGTCAGCCCGGGACGAGCTGCCGCTGCCCACTGCTCCCCTGGTTGCAAGTCTCTTGGGGCCCCCGCGGGGGGAAGAAGGTTGACAGAGATGGTGCTGGCGTCTCCCCTAGTGCGGAGCTCGCGCTGGGTCTTCTGTCCTGAGCTATTTATCTCTTTCTTGCAGGTGGAAATCTTAGGGGAGCTCTCAGGGGAGTGTCTCAATAGAATCTTCGTCAGCTTTCCAGGTGCGCTCTTCGTTGTTGTTGTTGTTAATCCCACCTGAGGATATTTTTTCCATTGATTTCTTTAGAGAGAGTGGAAGGGAGGAAGGGGAGAGGGAGAGAGAGGGTGAGAGAGTGAAACATCAATGTGTGAGAGACACATCAATTGGTCTGCAGAGGCCCCACCAAGGCTGGGGATCGGACCTGCAACCCAGGTACGTGCCCTTGACTGGGAATCAAACCTGCAACCCTTCGGTGTGGGGCCGATGCTCTAACCACTGAGCCAAACCAGTCAGGGCTCAGGTGGGCTCTTTCTGGATCATGGTTTCCACTGATTGTTCGGTGCCAGGGCAGAGAGTTATTAGTCAGTGCAGCTGGTCCTGAGGCAGCCACGGAGCCACCTGCCTGGTTTTGCTGCTTTTCTGGGCCTGGAGCTGAAATACAGCTGAGGCCTAGATGTTACCTTTAGGGAGGAGATGCTCAGTGGATCTAAACTGCATGACCAGCGATATGCTGGGAGAAGATAGGTGACCCTGGGAACAAGGTTCCTGTTTTCCCAATTTTGCCCCTTTCTAGGCATCCAGGGCTTTCTGCCCTGGTGAGTCTCTGTACCTGGGTTTCTGTAGCTGGCGCATTTAACAATTATGTCTTGGCTTGAATAAGTGTCTTAAAAGGAAATGCGAGCCATCTTAAGGAGTACAGCAAACCCTCTATTTTGCAGACCTCAATTTAATGGACTTTGGATCTAATGGACAAAATTTCTGGTCCGTAAGTCATATGTGAAAATTAACACCCTGTTAATTTTAAAATGCTTTTAACCAACATTTGCTCATAATTAAATTAACAGGGCTTTTTAAAGTATTAATTCACTGTTATTTTTAACAAATTTTAGCAAATAGGCCATATGTTGGAAAAAACACTAGTTTTTTACCAACAGAAATAAATATTACATATCTACAGCTATAATCTACATATTTAAATCCAAGAGTCACCGCTCGTAAACAGTGACGAATGATTAGCATGTGATAACCGCATCACGCACGTAGTTGGTTTCTGTTGTCACCTGGCAGGACTTTCTGCAGCAGTTTTCATGAGCGCTGGCAGGTGTTTGAGGTGGGCTAACCCCGCCCCAGCCTTGGGCATTTGTTTACTCGAGGTGACTGGTGAATGAACGCAATTACTAGACCTATTTAGTAGAAATTTAAAATTACAGTAACACATAGAAAACTTTTCTGCGAAATTAAACTTTTCATGCATACTTAATTTTAATTACACAAACATGTTTACATAAGTAAAAACAGGTAAACTAATTTGTCAATTTTTTTAACATATGCATTCAGAAACCCTACTTTATTATATAACAGACTTTTGGCTTTAACAGACAATTCCTCGCCCAAATTAGTCCATTATATTGAGGTTTTACTGTATTTGATGAATGAATGTGGCAGGAGAGGGATGCCTAGAGGGGTGTTAGAGCTACTAGTAAGTGTGATAGCAGACACAAGGAATCTGAGGCTGCCTGTCTCTACTTGAGCAGAGACAGGGATGAATCATAAATGAGTGTTTATTCCGATAATGCCACTTATAGGTCAAGAAAAAGTTTCTTAAAACTCAAATCCTGGGGAGGTTGTCAAACACATTAGACTAAAAGATTATATATTATTATGGAAGAGTATTAAATTATTTATTCATTCAAAGTGATGACCAAAGATATTAAACACAAACACAAGCTAGTAAACCTTCAGTTCTTATGATTAAGAAGATGGGTTTTTAAGTAATCAAATACCTGATTAATATAACATAACCATTTCAATAATATATAGAACCTTTGCTTCCTAAGCAAATACAGGAAAAACTTTTTCCTTTTTAACAGACTGGAAAAGAACCAAATAAATTCTGTGTTAATTTACTTTAGATTCGTTTTCCTAATTAAATGTTTTATTCAGTTTACCTACATGTTTCTTTTTGCTCCTTCCCTCTACGTAATTTTTTCCAACTTGCACAGACCCTCTATAATTTTCCTACTCCCTTTCAATTTGTTTCTTCTTAACTTATTCAGAAATAACCAACTTTAAAACCACCTATTTTCAATTCTATGTTACCAAAACTATACAATTTTTTCCAACTTAATTAGAATACTTAACTCAGAAAACTTGCTTTTTTTAGTGACAAGTAAGTAATTAACATCCCTCAGATTGACAAATACATTTTAGAGCTTCAGAAAGTTTCTTTTATTGGCAAACACACATTTTCAAGAGACATTTTTCAAGTAAAACATAAGATATATTCATTAACAGATCTAAATCCATTCTCCAGCCTTT